GCCCCCACTTATCTGGGTTGCTGGGTCTCCACGTCATTGGAAGCAGGCAGATGGAAAACTGTATAAATAGAACGAGGATTGTCTCACTGGCCTTAGACTTGGGGAACAGAGACTTTGTGAAACTAAATATGCCTCGGGGCGGCAGCGCGAGAGAACAAACCCCTTACGCACATTCTGCGCGGGTTCTCGGAGACGGGGTTGGAGAAACCGTTTCCATGGCCACGGCCACTCCCACTAAGCCCAGCCCGAAGCCAGCACGCCGGAAATACGTTTCTGGGCTACTTCCTGCAGCTGCAGCCTTCAGCTTTCCCAGGTCTGCACAGCAAGCCCGTTTTCCTTTAGGCAGAACGAAACCGCCGTGCTGGTAGTAATAATGGCGAGAGTTTATCCAAGCACTACTGCGTGGCTCATCCAAGAAAAGTCTCTTGTTCAATGTAGACTCGTTTTAAATTGGCTGGATTTCTCCTTATGAAATCCGCCATTGACTTGCCAGCTGGCTGGCGTTCCCACGTTTGTCTGTCTGCCAGCCTATATCCAGAAAGATTCCTTACCGAGTTAGGATGCCCCCGTGGCCTGGGAAGTGTCCTGGCAGTCGCGTCCCCCCCAGCCTGCTTTGTAACAAGCGCTGCCTCAGCATGAGAGAAGCAGTTCTCAGCCCAGTTTCCTGGGAGAGTCCACTCCGTATTTTGGGGGAGAAGCATATTCACGGGGCTCCTGTAAAGGAAGCCAGAGGGAGGGAAAAGCAGTTTCCAAGTACACTGCCCTCCTGGGTTGCCTGCCTGCCTGCCTTCGTGCCGGTGCTGCTTGGTCATGTCGTGGAGGGTCTTCTGAGACCTTGTCCAGAGAAGTGTGTTTAAAAGCACGCGTGAGCAAGAGTGACGCAGGCCTGTGTCCTGAAGCACAAGTGCTTTTCCTTGTGGTGGCCCTCCCTCAATTCAGTATAGCCTTGAGAGGATGAGGCCCCCCTCCTCCCAAGCTGTGGCCTTGGCCCTCTCTCTCTCAGTGGAGGGGCACAGCAGAGGGGCTGTGGCCAGTTCATCCAAATTGCTTATGAGTGGGATGTTTTGAAACCACGCCTGCTATTTTACTGTGGTCCCGAGATATACTGAAATCAGTGGCGTGAAAGTCACACAGAGGTGCTCCGTAGGCCATGTACTAGACAAGCATGATCAGAGACAGCTATGACGGGCAGTCTATGCACGACGGTCATGTCCCGGCTAGCTGACTAGCTACTAACAGAAACAGTAGCCACTCAGGATGAGGGATCCAGTTTGCAGGCGTGTGGGTGATGTGGCGTGTCCTGGGGTCTGCATTTGCCCTCGTTGACTCACGTCATGCCAGTGTGGGAGCTGCTCCTCCTGTGGGGTGTGCGAGGGATGGGCTCGTGAAAGCAGATGTGTGGGGCACCCTGGGGAGCACTGCTGTCCGGGCGTGGTCCCTCAGGCACTCCTCGAGGTGCCCCCGCTGCAGAAACGCAGCCTGCAGTCAGTAGAAATGTGTGCAGGTAGCATTCAGAACGTAGCGCCATTGTAAGCGTGCTGTCTTTGAGGGGCGGTGGTAGTGCTGGTTAAAAAATAAAGGAAGCCTGGTTTCCACCCACAACACGGATTCTGTGGCCCACCAGTTAGGGTGATCCTTGGGTCACCCCCTGCAGGGTCACCATCACTGCTGGTCCCTGACAGTTGCCACCTCTGGCCCCCAGGACACAACTCCGATGGGAAGTTCATCGCGCGGGCGCAGCGGATAGAGTATGACTGTGAGCTGGTGCCGCGGCGCGTGGCCATCTTCATCGAGAAGACGAAAGACGGGCAGATTTTGCCGGTCCCCAATGTGGTTGTGCGCGATGTGGCCTGTGGCGCGAACCATACGGTGAGCTTCCCTCGGGGCTTGCTTCACGGCCCTGTGTTTCACCCGGGCCAGGCCCCTGACTCTGGAGAGAGGGGCTTTGCTCAGAAGCCGAGGGCCTCCAGGTTTGACCAAGTACAAACGCCTCCTGCCTGAACAGCGGAACACTGTTTCAATCCTTATCCGCCTCTTTTCCTTAAAACAGAAAAAGAAAACATTCCGTAGTTCCCTGTCATTACTACTACTGTGACTGATTCATAGACCAGACTTCAAAACAGTTCAGGGAAAAAGTCCAATGGCCTAGCTCCACTTTTCCACAAACTTCCTGAAGACCCCTTTCTGTGCTGTGGGGTTGAGCAGCGCTTCCTTCCTCTGTGAAGGATGGGCAATGCAGGAAGGGTTCTCCTGCAGGGGTTGAGTTGAGCACGGGGCTGGGACTCTTGCTGGGGACACCCACACACACACCCACACACACACACCCCACCCCCTGCCCAGGCCTTCTGTTTGCTGCTGTGGACGAGAAATAAAGTGAGCTCTTGTTGGCAGGCTTCCTGCAGCCTCGCTGTTGCTAGGTAGACCTCGAAGGGGAGACCTCAGAGGTTCTGTGAAGGATTTCGTAAGTTGGGGTGGACAGGGCTGTGTGTGCGTGCGCCTGCATGCGCTGCTGCGGCTGCTCCTTGGCCACCAGGAACTCCCAAGCTCACTGCCATCAAGTCGATTGCTGATTGCCGGCTCCTAGTGACCATGGAGGACAGCGTAGAACTGCCCTCCTGGAGTCGAAAGCTTTGCCTTTCTCCCACGGAGCGGCTGGTGGTTTCGAACTGCTGACCTGACTGCTAGCAGCCCAGTGCATAGCTCATTGACCAGGTGTGGTGGCTGTGTGCCTGTGATGGGGAGGCAGGTGCCTTCCTCCTCTGCTTTGTGCGGCTTCGTCAGCCTTGTCATCCTGGTTCAGGTGCAGCATTGGAGGCACTGCCCTCTACAGACACCCCGTCTAGGTTAAAGTCGACAACCACCACGAGTGGAAAGCAGCGTTTGTGGTGGAGAAAGTGGTGCACTGGCCACGTAGAAACTCAACTCACTGACATTGAGACAGGCGGCTTAGCAGCGACCCCGTAGAACAGGGTAGCCCTGTGGGCTCTGAGACTACGTCTACAGGAGTAGAAAGTCCCATCTTTTTCCTTCCGGAGCGTCCAGTAGTGTGAACTGCTGACCTTTCAGATCGTATCCCAAGGCATGAGCAGGCCTCGAGCAGGGAGCACGTCGTGCACGGCTTTCCCCAGGAGGTGGTTTTTCATCTTCCCGCTCCCTTGCTGGTCTCGGGCATGGGAGCCATGGCCTGCCTTGTTCGCTCACTGATGACAGACCTGCATTTCTCCCTCTGCAGCTGGTCCTGGACTCCCAGAAGCGGGTCTTCTCCTGGGGGTTCGGGGGCTACGGCCGCCTGGGCCACGCCGAGCAGAAGGATGAGATGGTGCCCCGTCTGGTCAAGCTGTTCGACTTCCCCGGGCGCGGGGCGTCCCAGATCTACGCTGGCTATACCTGTTCCTTCGCCGTCAGTGAAGTGGGTCAGTGACACACACCCACACACTCTGGGTGGGGGGTGCCTCGGGCTGCAGCTGTTGGGTCAGGCCTGGGTCTCCCTTCCCCTGCAGCTCGGGCTTCCGAGATGGGCATCCCTCCCTGCTCTGTTCCCTGGCGCGGTGCCGTGGTGACATGCCAGCCACCATGGTCAGTTCACCCGCCCTCCCCAGCAGTCTGGGCGCAGGTTAGACCGCCCCTCTCCCCAGGCACTGCGTCACAGGGGGCATGTGTTTGTTTTCCTCCAGGTGGGCTGTTTTTCTGGGGGGCCACCAACACCTCTCGAGAGTCCACCATGTACCCAAAAACAGTACAAGACCTGTGTGGCTGGAAGATCCGGAGCCTGGCTTGTGGGTGCGTGCAGGACTGCTGCTGTCCCTCTGTCTGTCTGTCATACCCCTGGGATGTGTCAGACGCCCTTGGGCGGGCTCCTTCCCTTCTGCCAGACCCTCCCTGCTCTCCCTAAGAGGGTCAGACTGTCCCGTAGCAGAGACAGGGTGCTGGGCAGTGAGGTCCAGAGGCACCTGGGAGGTGCTCTTCTCAGGGTGGTCAGCACGGGAGAGGAGGAGAGCGAGCTCTTTGGAAGACTGACGACTTTGAAGATTTGCTGTGTTCTCTGGCTGCAGGTTAGAACTGGGGGGCTGGGGGGGGGTCAGGTGCTCTGACCCCCTGAGAAGAAGGCATCCTCGGAGCACACCTGCTGAGTTACCTCGTGTTCCTGGGGAGCAGGGTGGGGGTGGTGCAGCGTGACCAGACTCTGTTGGTGAACCCCTGAAGTCTCGCCATGTGCAGTGAGGTTGCGTGGGTCCACTTCGGCCAGGTTCCATGGCCCTATGTCCTGTCTCACCTAAACCTGAAAAAGCAACAAGCAAACAAAACCCATTGTCATCGAGTGGGTGCTGACTCGGACCATATAGGACAGGGTAGAACGCCTGTGGGTTTCTTTGAGTCTGTAACTACAGGAGTAGAAAGCTTGGACTGTCATCTGCAGGGCAGCTTGGTGGTTTTGAACTGTTGACCTTGTAGTTAACAGCCCATTGTATAACCACTATCCCACCAGAGCTCATCCTGCGTAAGTGGGGCTCTCGTTTTTATGAGCGGGATACTTGCCTGTCCCCTCATACTGTTTGCTCTTTGGAAATGGTACATGGTTGGGCTCATAAAGGGTAGGTAGCTGGCCCTTCCCTGCACAACGTGAGGGTGGGAGTGGCTGCCCCCTTTCCCGAATGCCCTGAAAACCACAATAACTAATAGTTAATCCCAAAGGCCGTGCTCACAATGAAAGTGGCTGGTGAGCACCCTTTTGGGTTCGATATTTTGTAACATAAAGGTCACTCGCAGTGTGAGGTCACACAGTATTTCACCAAAAATGCATGCTTTTCACGGTCCCGGGACTACTGCAGCCATGGCTTTGAGAATGCCTTTTTCACACTGGCCGGTCCAGACTTACTGCCGCGCACTGAGCACAGCAGCAGGGACTGGGAGAGGAGGGCTCTGCTTGCTGTGTGTGTCTTGTTCCTGGGGAGGAACCACTCCCCGTTGGTGTTGTATGAAGTCTCAGTGGCCCGGTCCACGTTCAGAGTCTGCTTCCATTTGAGGGTCAGCTGCAGTTGATTTTAAAACCAGCTGCTCATATCCTGGGCCGTGGGCAGGTGGCCCGTCCGGCAGCGTCGGGGGGTTCTGGGTGTGGCCTGGCAGTAATGGCCTCTACCTGCTTCCAGGAAGAGCAGCATCATCGTGGCTGCGGACGAGAGTACCATCAGCTGGGGCCCATCCCCCACCTTCGGGGAACTGGTAAGCTGGGTCCGAAGGGCTGGGGCATTTCGGGGTATTCGGTTCACATTGGCCTTCAAGGACAGCCCTGTGCTCGTTGGGTTGTGGGGCACTTCTGTTTCGTCCTTAAGTGATTTGTTCATTTTTTGGTGAAGCGCCACCGGTTAGCTTCCCATTTGTTGGTCCCCCACCTCATGTGATAAATTCCGGACATCACTGCACTTCTCATGTGTCACCCTGCCCTTGTGTCCTGGCTGTCCCTGTCCAGGCAGTACAGCTTCCTGCCCCATCTGCTCATTGCTCCTTTGACGTAAGCTTTGGCCTTTGGGCTCAGGCAGGTGTTTTTAAGAATCGAGCACGGTCTCAGGAGTAATGTGATGTCCTTCTCTGGCGAAGGTGGGCTGGAGGGATAGTTCTGATGGCTCAGGGTGGTCTCAGATGGCCCAAAACATGAAGACAATTGCACAACCCTTCTGATAAGATTGAATTACTGAATTGTATGATATGTGGATGAAGTGCTAATAAAACTAGAACATAGTTATTTCAACACATAACAGATGTGTGTTTTGCTGAGCATTTTTATTCTGTTTGGACGAGGATCTGCTCAGATTGATGGGGAGCGGTAGCCGGACACCGCCCCATTCTTGTGATCTCGGGCTAGTTGAGATTGTCAGCTTTCTGACATCTGGGGTGCCTTCTTCCTCCTCTGCCCCTGACGGTGGAGGTCAGTCGTTGCAAGCCTTTCAGAACGTCAGGCCGTGCAGCGTCAGTCCCATATGGGTGACAACTTGTCTGTTCATGGAGCTGTCCCGTGAGACTCCGCTGCCCTCGTTTTAAAATGAGGACGTTGGGGTCAGTTGTGGTGTACCACAGCGCTCAGTGAGGCAGATCCTTGGGTTGCTGCGTGAGGCTCACAGCTTCTGCCGTTCCCGTGAGCTGCACCAGGCTGGTGTCTGGCTGTGCGCATCTGCCTAGATGACCTGGGGTGGCCCGCCCTCCTCTTTCCTAAGTGATAGAGATGAGGTGTTCAACCTGTGTCTGCACCAAAGAACGGTTTCTGAATAGAAACCTCGTCTGGCGTTGAAGGCAACCTGTATGTCGATGCTGCAGGTCTTTACTGTGAGGAGGAAGCCGTCTGCGTAGTTTCACTCCACAGTCGAGCTCAACTCCTGGCAATTTGTCTCCATGTAAACTTGCCATTTCCTGTTGTCCATCCTTCTGGTTTCCTTCCCCCTCACATTTCCTCAGCTGTCCCAGGGCCATGGCCATGGCCGAGCCTCGGCCCTAGGGCTGAATGTGCCTTCTTGGGTCTGGCAGCTTCAGGGACACATGTCCCGGTGCAGGGGACACACAGGCCACCCCTTGCGGGAGTTTGAGAAGAGCCTTCACCACCTCACAGAGAGTTGTTTTCTTTTGAGTCTTGCGGAACTAGACTTTCGCATTCTAAATCCCTCTAAATACGGAATTTGAACTAGTGGGCAGTGTGGGGGGGAGGGGGGAGGGGCGGGCAGCTCAGTGGAGACAGGGCCCGGCCCCTGGGAGGTGTTGGGGGACATGGGAAAGGACTGGACCGGCTGGGGAGCAAGGTCTCCACTGGTTTCGTGATGCCCGTGCCTCTTGCTGGCCTGTTGGTTCCCATCTCCGACTCGGCCGTCACACTGATTCTGGCTCACAGTGGTCAGTCCCTGGCCTGGACCTTGTTCTTTACCAGGGGACTCGGTCCTGGATCGTTACTGTGCATTGTGCCCCCTCTGCTCTGGGATAAGGTTCTCGGTCCTGTCACCCTGGGCCGTCATGGGTTTGTGGATCAGGGCTTAGTTGCCATTTCTATCTGCTTGTCATAGTAAAGTAGCCCACGGTCTCGTAGGGAGGGTGCCGTGGTTCATGCATGGTCCCTGCCTGGCAACCACATGTGTCTGTTGGGAACCACAGGACTCCCCCAACCTCACCCGGCCTAAGTGAGTGGGGCCTCGGGGCAGAGGCTTAACCCCGACTCGCGGTGAGTTGGGGTGCCTGGAGACCCGGCTGCAGCCCTGTGTTTGTGCACACGCCCGTTTGCTTTGTCAGGGCTACGGAGACCATAAGCCCAAGTCCTCCACGGCAGCCCAGGAGGTGAAGACACTGGACGGCGTGTTCACGGAACAGGTGAGCGTGGGCCTGCACGCTCCAGTGCAGATGGACACTCCCATGTCCTTGCAGCGTGACAGCCAGCCAGGGCAAGGTGCGAGCAGAGGACTGCTGCCAGGCCTCCGGGTGGGATGGGGTGGCACTCCAGGTGAGAAAGCCAGGAGGGCTGGGCCTGTGTGTCCCAGAGATGGTCAGCTAGGCCCTCTGTCTCCCCCAGTTGCTGCAAGCTCAGCTCAGGAGCTTCCTCCCAGCCAAGTCTCCTTGCTCCTGCTCCTTGGGGATCTGGCAAGGGCTGGGGCGTGATTCCAGGAGACACCTTTACACGGCTGGCCAGCGGGCTTGTCCACTCTGGGGGGCCCTTGCTCACCAGCCAGCCTCTGTGTCCCCTCAGGTCGCCATGGGCTACTCACATTCCCTGGTGATCGCGAGGGATGAAGGCGACACAGAGAAGGAGAAGATCAAGAAGCTGCCAGAGTACAACCCCCGCACCCTCTGAGCCCGCCGCCCGCAGCTGTGGCTCGGCTCTGGGCCCGGAGGCCCGACGGGATCGACAGTCTGAAGGGGACGGAAGGTGCATTTTTGTTTGGCCCCCACCCCGCCCCCAGGTTCCGTTTTATAAGTGGTCCAGCGTCAACTACCTTTTTTCTGTATACTTTCCAAAGTGGGTTTTTTTCCTCTCCTCCATGTTTAATTAAAATGTTTGCTCAGAGTTGATTTACCATTCCTACAAAAGAGGCAGAAACTTTGAGCAACCTAAGTTTTTTTGTTTTTTTTTTAAAGCTGTTTTTCTCTTTCTTTTAAATACACTTCCCAAAAGGACCTGTCCCAGTTGTATTAAGCGTTGTGATGAGAATGGGTGCTACGTGGGAGAGGAAGGACCGCTTGCTCAGAAACATCCCCTCCAGGCAGCTGGCCTCCCCCTCCCCTTGTTAGATCTGCCGTCTTTCCTGGGCTCTAAAAGGAAGCCCAGATGGGAGGTGATCCTGGACCCAGTGGGGATGTGGTGGTGGGATGGGGGTGGGGAATGTGTGTACCGCAAGAGACTGACCTATGGGGGGGGG